AGCCCCTGAACTACCACGACTACCATATAACCATATACCATATAACTTTACTTTTTACTTTCTTATTTGGAAATCTATCTATTCTATTTTAATTAAAGTGTTCTAAGAATTTGTAATATTTCTTCCACCGAAAAAAACATTCCAGAGATTGATATAATTTCATCAAAATCGTTTGAGCCATTTTGGAGAAATAATAATAATAATATGCCCGTTTGTGCATATGGTCCCATCATGATACGGCGCCGGGTCTGGGCATCTCCCGTTAACTGACGCCCATAAAATGGATGATGGTACAAAGAGAAAAGCGCATAGGGCCGATGCCTGAAGAGCGCCGGGGCGCGTCTGGAGCTGGCGCTGGACGCGACAGCATTGAAGCCACCAGCTGAGCGCTAGGGGCTGCATAACCACCTTGTAGCCCCTTGCATTCATCATCCCCACCAGATGGCTTGGTGTTGGCAGGGTCCTCCCGGACTCAGCAAACGGCATCCCCACTGGTGGAGTACGCCGCAAGGGATGGACAATTGAAATGAATAAGAACGCATTGCGGGCGTATTTTAGGGCGAAAGGGAGAGAAGTTGGAGGTTTTGCGTACCGGGCTAGGATGCATCGCCTGTTTGCTGAGCTGGAGCTATCTATTACCGTCACCGAGCAAAACCTGAGTTCGGTGCATCATGGGCTCAAAAATATTTGACAACGCCGAACTCGAACGGCTATGACGTGAGGCTGTTCCCTCGTGGGATAAAAATACTACGACAGGTGATGCGGCTCTATAAGTTGCAGAGCAACCCGCACACGTAGATGCCGTCGTAGATCTTCTTGTGGTTGAATCAGACGATTATGGAATAGTCACCCACGAACATGAGCAAATGAGGAGCATATTGGAAGAGGCGATTAGGGTAACGCGTAGTACGTCTCTCAAGAATCGACCGCGCTTCCCCGCATACCCCTTAGCAAGCGCAATCGGGCTGTCGTAAGGGCTCTAACCGCTGTCGACCTATTTGGAAGCCAGCCGGGACCTTTGCGACACGAATTCAATTCTTTTTGGCGCCGCACTGGCCGTATACCGTATTATTGGCGCCAAGTTCCTCATGGCTGGACGTGCTACTACACAAAGTAGCGCCATCCCAGTCTGGAGAAAAAGAATTGAGGACCGTATCGCAAAGGCATAAGCCCTGATCGGCAGACTTACAAGCTTAACGTCGGGCAATAACAGGCCAAGAATGTGCGCATCGTCAGGATGGCGTTCTCTGGGACAAATATCAGTTTGTCCCAGTCGGATATAATGCAAAAACTGACAAGCACATAGACGACCTGAAGCAGAGAATCGCTGATTGGGGGAAGCGGATTCGGCGATATACCGAGAGGTTGATACGGTTCAACCAGAATCGTCTCTTCCAGAGTGATCAGAAGAGACTCTATAAATCACTGGAATGACCAGTGGTACGTGGCCCAGCACCGAATCAGGCCGACACTATCGCATTCTGGCGCCGCCTGTGGTCAGAGCCTGTAAATCACAGCGAGGGCCCTTGGACGGATGTTGTGGCAAGTCAGTGTGCGAATATTACGCCCATGGACCCCGTCATCATAACACCGAACGATGTAGCTGAGGCGGTCCGTAGGGCTCCGAACTGGAAAAGTCTGGGGCTCGACGGGCTGCATCACTACTGGCTGAAGGGGTTCACGGTGTGTCACGCTGTGCTCGCTCGATAGTTTAAAGAGGCTTTCGACCAGAAGTCGCGCCCGAGCCTCTTTACTACTGGTCACTCATTTGGTTCCAAAAGACCAGGATACCACAGACCCGAGCATATACCGCCCCATCACGTGTCTACCCACCATATGCAAGACACTAACATCAATTTTGAGCGTGAGAATCACTCGTTACCTGGACTCAAATCAGGTGATGTCACGCGCTCAAAATGGATGTCGGGGCGGTGGTTGTTGAACCAAGGAACCACTCCACATTGACGCGGTCAATGGCAAGGTGGTTAAACACAACCGGCTGCACTTCGCCGCCTGGATAGACTACAAAAAGGCATTCGACTCGGTGCCTCATACATGGCTGAAGAGGGTCCTCGAGCTGTACAAAGTTGACTGTACAGTTAGAGACTTCCTTGGGCAGTGTATGGGGCAATAGAGTACGATCCTTTGGCATCTAGGCGAGCGGATGACGGCTGCGGAGAATCACATAAGGATAAGAAGGGGTATCTTCTAGGGAGATTGTTTGAGTCCAATCTGGTTCTGCCTCTCTCTACACCCTCTCAGTATCTTACTGGAGGGTTCCAGAAAGAGATTTCAGCTTCGGAAAGGAGGTACAAAAGTGACCCACCTTTTTTATATGGATGATCTCAAGTTATTCGCCTCCAGTGGCTCCCATGTTATGGAATAGCTAAACATCACTTGTGATTTTAGCAATTCTATTAGGATGGAGCTGGGCATGGATGAGTGTGCGGTCTTGCATGTCAAAAGGGGTAGGGTTGCTAAATTTGAAGATATAGACTTACCTATGCCCATCAACATTAGGATCCTTTCTGAGGCTGAAACATACCGATACCTGGGTATATCACAGAACATAGGTATCGATGTGGCGGACATGAAACAATCAGTTTGCGATCTGTTTTATGCACACTTGACCAAAGTGCTTAACAGCCTTTTGTCGGGCGTGAGTAAGACAGGCATATAAAGGTTGGGTCATGCCTGTCCTCATAGGTATACTTTTTGGCACACTCAGGTGGACTTGGACCGAACTGAACGCTCTGGATAGAAAAGTCCGCACTGTTATGACGTCCCATAGGATGCAACATCCGAGATCGTCGGTGATGAGGCTGTACTTACCGCGGAAGCATGGTGGACGTGGCTTTTTAAGCGCGCTCACCATGCATAATCGCGAGTGCAGCCTCGCGAGCCAGCGAGATTGGATGATTCATTCTATAAGGACGCTATATCTTGTGATAAAGGGCTTACCCCTCTATCCTTAGCCAACGAGGAATGGCAAGATCCGGCAGTACAAAGCGTTTGCAACCGTGAAACCGTATGGAAGGAGAAGGAGCTCCATGGGAGGTTCTACATGCTTCTACACGAGCCTTTGTTAGACACAGTCGCTTCTTTCCACTGGCTACGTTTTTGTGACCTCTTTGGGGAAACTGAGGGTTTGGTCTATGCGATACAAGATCAGGTTATTAAGACCAACAACTATCGGAGATACTTCCTAAAGTATGGCGCCATCGACATCTATCGAGCTTGTCGCCATTCCGGTGAGTCACTTAGGCATGTCATTTCCGGTTGTTCTGCGCTTTATAACTTTGAGTACTTGCACAGACACAATCTAGTAGCCATGATTGTGCACCAGGAGCTCGCTCTGAGATACGGTCTCGTGAATCGGAAACTGTCTTATTATAAGTACTTGCTGGATGCCGTGCTCGAAAATGACCGCGCCAGGCTCTACTGGGATCAGGCCATCATCACAGACAGGACTATTCTTGTGAATAAACCTGATATTGTGCTGATGGACCGGGCACAGTCAAGGATATTTTTGATCGATATTACCATTCCGTATGTCGAGGACCTCGTGAAAACCGAAACAGATTAGAAAACAAAATATCTGGACCTGGCTCACGAGGTGACCAACATGTGGGGTGGTCTGCCGACCTAAGTTATTCCTGTAGTCGTTTCTGCGAACGCGCTAATCCCAGTCAGTCTCTCGGGTCATCTGAGGCGACTGGGGCTCCGTGACGGACCGCTCCAGGCTCAAATACAGAAGACGGTGCTCCTCGATACCGTCCGCATCGTCCGCCGGTTTCTTTTCCTTTGCCCCTAACCCTCAGCCGTTTGGTCTTCCCTGCCGAGGGCTACCATCTGGTTGGCCTTTTATCTATTTATGTATTATTTGTTTATGTTAGTATATTTAATACATATTTATGTATACCTATTTATCATTTCCTCTTATATCAGCCCAACCAGATGAGAATACTTTATAAATACACCATAATAATAATTTATTGACTCATCATCATCATCATCATCATTACAGCCCTTCACGAGTTCACTGCTGAACATAGGCCTCCCCCAAAGAATGCCACAAAGCACGGTCCTGAGCCACCTGCATCCATCGACTTCCTGCATATCTTACCAGGTCGTCACTCCATCTAGTGGGGGGACGCCCTACACTTCGCCTGCCGGTACGAGGCTGCCACTCGAGAACCTTTCTTCCCCATCGGTTGTCAGTTCTTCGAGCTATATGGCCGGCCCATTGCCACTTCAGCTTACTGATCCGTTGGGCTATGTCGGTCACTCTGGTTCTACTGCGGATATGCTCATTTCTGAGTTTATCACGCAGAGAAACTCCGAGCATAGCCCTCTCCATAGCTCGTTGAGCGACCTTGAGGTTCCTCATCCGGCCAGCAGTGAAGGACCACGTCTCAGTTCCGTATGTCATCACTGGCAAAACGCACTAGGTGTACACTCTCGTTTTCAAGGTTTGAGGTATACCTGACGAGAATATGTGCCGTAATTTCCCGAATGCTGCCCAACCGAGTTGAATCCGTCGATTGACCTCTCGGTCGAAGTTGGACTTACCTAGTCGGACTATTTGTCCCAGGTAAACATACTCGTCAATAACTTCGAGCTTATTGACTCACACTTATAGAAAAGTTACACAAATCACAATTTTACAATTTGATAATTTTTGGTACAGAATAAGAAGAAATCAATTACATATTAACATATTACATACATATATTAAGAATAGCTTACTTTACAACTGTTTTTGAAAATTCCATTGTCCTGGAAAAAACCGTCGAAAGACCCAATGGGATTTTTTAAAGAGTATTTTATAATCATTTATTATGTAAAGTATACCATCAGCTGAAATATTGCTTAGTAATAAAGATCACATTCCATTATATTTTATTGGATCGTGAAATTGTGTGTAATTTTAATCCGTATGTTACGATGTCACGGGTTAAATATCTATTACACTAAAGTCTACACGCCATGTCTCGCAGGGTCACAGACGATATTTTGGCGATGGCGCGACCCAGCACCGCAAGCATTGCCGCCAGAAATATCATACAGCAATTTCATAGGTAAGTAGTTCAGATTTAAACTGATAAATAAGCAAATGTAAAATATTTTTAAATGTTGTTGTGTAAGGATGGTCGGTTGGTGGAGGGTTAATTGGTGGCACGGTGGGTATTATTTTAAAACAATGTGTAAAAAAATCATAATGTTAATACCTAAAATTATAAGACCTTAAATTCATTAAAGATGCCTCAATGGTTGTCTTTTGCATCTATTGTTAATTTGTGTCTTGAAAAAAATTGTCCACGCAATAGAATATTTTCTTGTATCATGCAGTCTTATTACATTAATACATAGGTGTACACGGTCAAACAACATCCTCCATGTGGCAGAAGGAGCATGGAAGTAAAATTTATGCTGTAGAAATGCGGTCATAAAAAACTATGTCAGGGGTAAATCAGTATGATAGGGGAGAAATTGTGTGATAAGAGAAAGGTATGTTTTGCAAGAAGACGTAATCAGGATTAAGAAAGGAATGCTTCGGAGATTTGTATAATTAGAATGAACTAATAAGGAAAGAGTGACAAAGACGTTAGGACTATTCTTGAGTATTGCAATTGAATTTGGAATCCACAATATATTACATATATTCGTGCTATTGAAGACATTCAGAAAAAAATTGTTAATCACTTAAACTATAGGTATAATCGAATAATCGAAATCCCCAAAAGTATGTCGATTTTTGTAAGCATTTTCACCTCTTAACACTTGAAAACCGTCGTATAGTATTATATGACATGACGTTCATGCATAACCTTCGTAATGGGCACATCGACTATCCGGATTTAGTATCCAAAATGTTGTGTTTAAAGTGTCCTAGAACCAGAACACGACAAACAAAGCTTTTTTCAATTGCACATACAAAAACATAGTCTCTCGGATACATAGAAAATATAACGAAACATTTCACTCTGTAGACATAGTCTATGGAAGTAATACAAACTTTGTGCGAGAAGTTTTGATAATAGTTAATGACACACACACACACACGCACGCACGCATGCACGCACGCACGCACTCACGCACGTACGTACGCACTCACACACGCACACGCGCACACGCACCCGCACACACACCCGCACACACACACGCACGCGCACACGTACACGCACACGCACACTTTTTGTTAAATAAATAAAAAATCAAATTATGCTGCAGAAGTGAGTAGCAGATTCGGTAAGGGACGCTCTAGTCGAAAGTTTATCGACCAAATTAAGTGTACCCTTATGCATGTATGTGTAGCTTGTATATGGATGTGTAAGAAGCGATAAAGGTGAGTTAGGATGTCCGTACTCTCTACATACCCCTCTGGGTGATAGGCGTGATGGTTTATGTTTGTACATATTATGTATATTGCTTACTTTACATTGCTCTATATTTCTCTAAATTTCTCTAAATTTATATTGCCCTAGCATTGTAATGAAAGTATAATTCTTTAGCTGGGGCATCCGCACGGTGATCAACTTGCAAACGCCAGGTGAACACGCCAGCTGCGGGCCTCCTCTCACCAGTTCCGGCTTCACTTATGATCCCACAATATTCATGGCCAACGATAGTAAGTTAATATAACATTGAACGAACGCATCACCATTTTAGTCCTTCACAAGTCCACTGCTGAACATAGGCGTCCCACAAGAAACGACACAAACCACGGTCATGATCCACTGGTAACCATCGACTTCCTGTATCTCTTAACAAGTTGTCACTCCATCTAGCAGGGGTCCGTCCTACACTTTGCTTACCGGTACGAAGCTGACAAGAACCTTTTTTCTCCTTCGGTGGGTCAGTTCTTCGGTTAATGAAATATTCAACCCGAAATAAAATAGTTACTTTCTGGATTAGCCTAAGATTTCATACCAAACATTACGCTTTGTTTGTCAAAGCAATAGAATAAAACATGATTAACAACAAAGTCTAAGAAAATATGCAGGACATATCTAGTGATCATTATCATCATTACAGCCTCTCACAAGTTCACTGCTGAACATAGGCCTGCCCTAAGGAATGCCGCAAAGCACCTGAGCTGAGTCCTGAGCCACCTGCACGCATCGACTTCTTGCATATCTTAATAGATCGTACCTGCCGCCCTACACTTCGCTTACAGGCACGAGTTTGCCACTACCAAGAACCTTTTTTTCCCATCGGTTGTCAGTTCTTTGGTTTTGAAAATATTTAACCCGAAATGAAATAGCTACTTTCTGAGTATGTCTAAAACTTCATAAATTATTTCTTTAACAAACAAAGTGTAATAAAACATGATTTATTCTATTCCTTTCACTTTTTATCAAAAAGTTAAAAAACTATTAAGCAAAAATTGTTTAGCTAGATTTATTATAATACTAAAGAGTACATGACCTCTAGGATTAAGGTGATCGTTATCATGTTGTTTCTAAATGTCTTCACCTTAATTGTATAAAATATTATATTGAAAATTAGTGTTTAAAAAAAGTCCTGCTGCGTTTCGTGCTGGTTCTTCCCATGACAGAAGTTTTTCTTCCGAACTGGTAAAGCTTAAATGACTTTCAATAAGTATTCTTTTTTCATGTCTATATTGAATGAAAAATATCCTAATAAATATTATAAAAATTTTAAGACAGTTTTTTATTTATCATTTACAAGTTCAATACAAAAATATAAGAAACAGAAACAGAAACTTTTTTATTCAATATATATTATAAATAATACTTACTGAAAGTCACTCTTTTGTTTGATTACCACTGGTTCGGAAAAAACCTCTGTCCTGGGAAGAACCAGCAAGAAACCCAGCGGGACTTTTTTTTAAAATAACAGCTTACAATCATGATGTTACACAAATTAACAACACAACAAATTAGAAATAGCTTGGTAGCGATCACCTCATTTCCAGGGGTTATTATCATCCATAAATTCCTTAATATTATAATAACCCTTTTTATACAAACTTAGTTTAATAAAGTTTTTGAACTTTGAACAGGTCAAACTTTGTATATTTTCTGGTATAAGTAAAGGCATCTATAAACTACAACCTTTAATAATAAGTAAAGGCATCTATAAACCACAAAGGTTTGTAAATAATCTACGTCGATATTTCCATATGGGTTTGATAAAGAAAAATAAAATATACGTATTATTAATTACATTGTGTTACAAATAGTTTTAAAATCGGGCTAAACTTATAATTTCATAACTTAGGTAATTAAAAAAATTAAAGTGTCAAGATCAGTGTTAAGGAAGTAAGATTTTAGGTTAGCCTTCAGGACTATAATAGGACTCTCCAAGCAGAGTTGGATAACAATGGATGAACAAAGTTGTTTCCTAAAATGCATTTAATCAATTACAAAATACCTTTTGGTATTTGTAATTCAGATAAGATTAAAAGTTTATTTTCATGTTTTCTATAACAATAGAGTCACGTATGGCTTAACAGTCCACCTGATTGTAAGCAAATAAATTTTAACAAAGAAAGCTATTTAAAAAAAAACAAAAATAGCGTTGTCCATCGTTTGAACTAAATAAATACGAATGATATGCCACTGCCATCATCAGATGAACTTGAGGATCTAATAAAGACGAAATTACTTTTCTTAATTACAGTATATTATTACAATTTCGCGTGGCCAGATTATGGAGAAGCGAGTCTCAGCGGATTATTGAACATGGCGAAAGTGGTGTCCTTTGCGTTAGAAGAGGGAAGAGTCGCCATACATTGCCATGCAGGTAAAAATTGTTTGGTTATCGCATATTATAGGCAACACAGGAGACTATCTAATTTTTAGTTCAATTAAAATTTATATGTTACAAGACACAGGCGGTATAAGAGAATAAATTCAATTTAATTTATTTATTGCCAGAATGTATTTAGTACATAATATGATAATCATATTAATTACTAGCTTTTTACCCGCGGCTTCGCTCGCGTGTGCTTGAATTTAGGAACATCATTAAATGCTGTTCCGTGCCAAATTTAGAAAAATTCGATCACTTTTAGTCACCCCGGTGTCTCTATGTCTGTCAAATATATTTTTTTCATTCTAAAATACTATTAGACGTAGATGATTGGTAACATGCTATAGAAACACTTGAATATATACATATGTCTAAAACACCTACTATTTTTTATATCGTGCGTGTTTTCCGATTCCGATGTATCCATAAGAAAGGTAAATAGTCTTGAAATCAAAATGTATTATTATTATTTACATTTTACTCTTTACATTTATTCATAGTTAAAGTTAATTTAGTTTTAACAAAGTAATATAATGTTTATTTGAGACATTTTATTCATATCATTGGTCCTATTTAATATTGATTGGCACCATAAAATATATGTAGATATTTTTTTACTTGGGGAGTAGACTTGAAAATTTCATAAATACAGTTCTATAATAATGAATACTACACATGGATTAAAACTAATGTTACGGGTGTTTTTACGCATCTTGGATGAAAGTTCCGAGTAAAAGAACATAATATCGTTGATGTGAAGCACCGAAGCTCCGGGAAGTCTAAAGTATGTCAACATGTTTAGTATCGTCCCAACCATTATATCGGATCTGATAGACAACAAATCCTTTCAATCCGAATCCTACCAATGATGATTCGCGAGACTATTGAAATTAAAAATATCCTAATTTTAATAGGGAAGATGGCTGAGTGCTACCATCTGCTGAGGACCCCATAATTAATAAAATTAAATTCAACCTACTACTGCATTTATTTTATTTTATTTTAACGATGACATCAGGTCTTCAAACACCCCAGTTCTCCAGCCCCTCCCGTAACCATGGATGTTGTAAAGTGCCCAAAACATCCGGAATTTGAAAAATTAAAATTAAACGCAATAAAATCCTTAAAATTAGTAGCACTAAACTCATGAACGGGAGTAGAAAAGTGTTCGCCCTGTTGTGGCGGTGAAAGAAAATCCACCACCTCATATTGTCCCGTCGTAAGAGGCGACATAGTAGGAAAACAAACTGTAGATGGGATGGGCTGCATCATCTTCTTGACAACAGATCAAAATAATAATAGCTGCGGTTGTCAACCCGCCTCAAGCAAGCGTGGCAACTATAGCAAATATCCAGCTACTTGACAATTTATTGGGAAGGCCTATGTTCATTTCAGTGGACTTTTGATAGGCTGACGATGAGTTCTACTCATCTTTGCAAGCGTTAATATTTACGGCAGAGTGAAAACAAAAAGCAACATACCCGAAAACACGAATGAAATAAAAGCTGCATATATTCCCCATGAAAAGTAAAAAAAGTAGCAGCTTACATACATGTTACTACTGGGCGCAGGCCGTAGAGTTTTTGGGCAAAAAAGTGTTCGCTACGGTGATTCCAACGCGGGATGAATGTAGTGTAAATGATTCAATTATTTACATCGTATATTCAGTAGCATTGTATTATTTCATTTTATCAATGACTTGCCATTTTATTTTTTTTAGAAGTAAGTAGGTGGCGCTAATATTAGATGAAATAATGAAAGCCTATACCATCTAGTAATATCAGCAATAGAAGCGAACATTTATTTATTATATCGATAAGGGATAAAGTGATGTCAATTCTCTTAAAAGTTCTGTTTCTGTTAAAAAATACGCTATCAGCGCCGTGAAAAACGATTTAATGATATCGTCATATGACTATAATATTATGAAATAGCAACGTTATGTTTAGTTATTAATATCTTTAAACGATTTCTATTCATTGATTTTGTCAAGCTATATCATGATATGGTCAACAAATAGTGTTAAATATCATGAAATGACCACACCATTTCACAAAATGATAGACTACTTTACGATATATGATCAATTCTACGATCTGGCCACGAAATACATAAAAAATCTCTTTAATAAAACTATAATGGTAATGAAAATTTTGCAACAATTGCAGACAGACCAGTTGTAATCACTTTAAATATATATTAGTAATTGAAATAAATACCTTATCAATTTTCATATTTTTGATAGACGTCACTATTGTCTATTGAAATTTTTACACTTTTAAAATAAAATAACAAACATACTAAAAAACTAAACGTTAGAATTTTTTAATGATTTAAAAAATCTAATATTTTAATCATATAAATGAAAGTTATTTATATTATTTCATTTATTAGTAACTGAAGGCCATGAAGAAACCACTTATTCCATTTGATGATAGATGGCGCTGTTTTGAATACCAACTTGGTGTAGTTTCAAATTATTTTACCAAGATTATAACTATATTTTAAACTTTATTTACAAATATGGTTTTTATCATGCCGTCATGCCGCCTATAACTAAGATATAATAGAAAATTAACATCTAAAGGAAATAGAATACTTAACCTTCCTTTTTTGAAGTTCCATAATCGGATAAAAAGTAGCCTATAAGTTGCCCTCAGTTACTCACTACCTATATACAAAATTTCATGTAAATCGGTTCAGTAGTTTTTGCGCGAATCCGGAATACACAGACAGGCAGACAGACAGAAAGACAGACAGACAGACAGACAGACAGACAAAAATTCTAAAAACCACTAATTTGGATTCAGAACCCTTTATTTAGTCCTCTGGACTTGTTTTTTCAAGAATATATTAGAATTACAGACACGACTTTTCTACAGATTTATTATATATGTATGTTGTATGTATGTATGTATAGGTATAGATTAATGGGACCTTATATTCTACCATGATAATGGCGTGCAATTTCTTCATTTATATACTAAAACTATTAAAGGAGAAGTTGGTAACGTGACCCCCGCAGGTATATTAGCCCCATTTAATATTTATAACTTAGAAACACACTAGTAGTTACTAATAGTTAGAACAAACTTTTAAAACCACTCTTGAGTTTCATTTCATTTTTGTGGGAAAACTAAAGTTTTAATGTTGGTGATTTGTACATCGTGTGCGATAAAGATTTTTGTAAGGGATTTTGAAGGTAATTATGCAAAAAATCTGGTAACTTTCTAAATTATGGTTTGTTCATTAATTTATCCTTTGATATTTCTGATTTGGCCCTCTCCCATTGTTTGTATTATGGTCCCCGGCGGCCATATAACATATATGAGCGACATTTTTTTATTTTTTTTATTTTTTTGTTTCATATGCATCGACAATTATTTTTTGTTTTGTTGTTTCTTATGCCTCGACAAAGTGTATTATGTCCATCTTCAAGGAAAAAGAAACTACGGGGTCCCGAGCATATGAAAAAGGCAATTGAAGCATTGAAGACGAAGGTCATGGGCTATAAAAAAGATGTAAAAATGTTTTCTTTACCAAGATATACACTGAAACGATTGGAGAAGGACTCGCAAGAATCCTTGGAAATACTCGTGCATAAACCAATGGGCTTTTTAAGAAGTCACTAAAGTGTGGAGATTCGCAAGTATCTTTTACATTCTGACACGATGCTGAAGCATTCGATATTGCTGATCTTTTTGGTCGGACATACCTTAAGAGCACAGTGGATAGAAGTGGATTCAATGCTAGCTGCAATTTATGGGCCCACACTGCCTAATTAACCTAAAACGCACGCACGTACCCATGCACGCACGCACGCACGCATCCACACACGCACGCACGCACTCACGCACGCACGCACTCACGCACGCACGCACTCACGCACGCACGCACGGACCCACGCCCGCACATTCACGCACACGCACACGCACACGCATACGCACACGCTAACGCACACGTACACGCACACGCGCGCACACACACACACAAACATACACGCACACACAAACAAACGCGTGCATGGTTCAATGATCATCACCATCTTCATCATCATTATGGCTGTAATGAAATAGAAGTGTCAAATAAAGATATTTATTATGGGGTATCTATACCTAACGTTTTCTCATCTGGTTGGGCAGTATAAATATATAATTGTAAAAGAACATGGTAAACATATATAAATATCAATAAAGTAAAATAAATACATAAAAATTACATAAATATATAAAAATCCAACCGGATGGAAGCCCTCGGCAGGAGAGACCAAACGGCCGAGGGTTAGGGGGAAAGGGAAAGAAACCGGCGGACGATGCGGGCGGTATCGAAGATCATCGCCTTCTGCATTTGAGCTTGGAGCGGTCCGTCACGGAGTCCCAGTCGCCTCAAATGACCCGAGAGGCTGACTGGGATTAACCCGTTCGCAGAAACGACCACAGGAATTATTTCGGTCGGCAGACCACCCCACATGTCGGTCACCTCGTGAGCCAGGTCCAGATATTTTGTTAGCTTATCTGTTTCGGCTTTCACGAGGTTCTCCTAATAAGGAATGGTAATATCAACCAAAAATATTCTTGACTGTGCCCGGTCCATCAGCATAATATCAGGCTTATTCGCAAGAATAGTCCTGTCTGTGATGATGGCCCGGTCCCAGTAGAGTCTGGCGCAGTCATTTTCGAGCACGGCTTCCGGCAAGTATTTATAATATGGCAATTTCCGACTCACGAGATCGTATTTCAGAGCGAGATACTGGTGTTGAATCCTGGCTACTAGGTTGTGTCTGTGCAAATACTCAGAGTTAGAAAGCGCCGAACAACCAGAGATGACATGCCTAAGTGACTCACAGTGATGGCGACAAGCTCGACAGTCTTAATAACCTGATCCTTTATCGTACAGAGAAAACCCTCGGTTTCCCGAAAGAGATCCCCGAAACGTAGCAAGTGGAAGGAGGTGACTGTGTCTAAGAAAGGCTCATGTAGAACCTTGTAGAA